GACTCTGCTGATAATGCGAACTGCCACGTTGTCGACGCCACGGAAGACACCGCTCCGAACGATGATGAGCAACCCTCATCTGGTCCAGAACAGGCGCTCAGGCACATCGTCCCGGTTCAATTGCTCAGGCGTTCTTTCGATGCTTGGCGTGGTCGCACGACCTTTCAAGAAGTGGCAACCATCCCAGTCGACCCCGCGGCTGCACGCACTTGGCTCCGAGACGTCCAGACCAATGACCCTACTTGTCAGAGGCTCGCCAGTCTCCCCCGCTGACAGTTCACCATTGACAACGACGGATTGTTGCGATATGGGCATCGTTACTTTCTACCTCAACGGTTTGCTCACTCGGTTATCGAAGATATCCACATCTTCCTCGGTCATTGTCCGCTCAAGCAAACCCACGACAGTGTAGTAAAGGCTTTCTACATCCCTGGTGTCTCTCGGCTTGTTCAACACGTGGTGTCAAGATGCGCATGCCAGTTCTCAGCCGGCCGTCGGGGCAACGTTAACCCCATCGGTCCCCCATTGAGAAGTACTTCAAGGCCTATGAAGATCCTCGACTGTTGCTTCCTTGATATTGTCGGTCCTCTGTCTGTGTCGGAATCCTTCTCCCACCCCTTCAAGTTCATCATATCATGCATGGACTGTTGCAGCGGTTATTGTTGGTTCTTTCCAACTCCCGACATCACCAGCAAGACCATCACTGGTATCCTCGAAGCAAGGCTGATCGATCAGGTCGGAGTCCCACGAGTTTTCACAGTCGACAACGCCCGCTATTTCACTGGTGTTTACTTCCGCGCCTGGGTTGCCAGCATAGGTGCTACCTTGAGATGTATCCCTGTCGCTAGCCCCCATCGCAATGCCCTATTAGAACGTCAACACTCTGGTCTCAAGAAGTCATTGAAGGCCCTCTGTGCTGAACATCCTGAATCGTGGCCGGCCTATGTCACTAAAGCTCAGCGGAGGATCAACACCCGATCTACATATGGCTACAGTCCTCAAGAGCTATTCTACGGTTTCGACGCTCTAACGCCCTTTTCAAGACGGTTTGAAGACGTCAGCAACACTATCGACGAGGATTCTGTCCGTTTCGAGGCTCGACGTCGTGATCGAGAACGACAGA